AACCATACGTCTCCGATTCCGGAGTCCCCGGCAGGAAGTGGTTAACAGTAATTTGGACAGCAGGGGATGTGGATTGAACTTCTGTCTGGAACCATTCAAAGAGTATGGTGTTTGTTGAAGAGTTCACCACAAACAGTGCTGTCTTGATTGTGTTTCAGAGTGGCGATAAGACAGTGTTGTACAGTGTAGCCTCGGTCTTTGTCAATCTCAGCAATAGCTATGATGAAGAGAAACCAGACCCGGAGATGGTGAAGCTGGCTCAATTTGCCAAACAACACATCCCTGAGCCACACCCTAAGGTAAGCATGAGCCACAGCATAATTTAAGAATGAACCACACCCCAAGATAAGCATGAACAACACCCTAAGGCAGATATGAGCCACACCCTAAGGTAAGCATGAAGCCACGCCCTAAGGTAGGCATGAACCACACCCTAATTCTAATATAAGCCATACCCTAAGGCAAGCATGAGCCATACCCTAAGGCAAGCGTCAGCCACACCATGAGGTAAGCATTAGCCACACCCTTAGGCAAACAGAATGTGCTCTATAAAATTGACTTTCATTTGAACATGTACAATGGGCCTTTCCATGCTTTAGGACAGCAAGGAATACTTGCAGGAGAGAGTCAGGAAGCTACTGCGAGAAGGAGTGGTCACAGCTCTAGTCTTCCTAGCCAAGGCCGACAGCGAGAACTGCCGGGAGCAAGTGGCCAGGGTGTTCCTGACACTGACGGAGGGCAAGGACGACCGAGGCCTCATCGTACAGCAAGGCGGTGGCAAGGCTCTGATCCCTCTTGCCAATAACGGGACCATGGAAGGGAAGGTCAGAGCGGCTCAGGCTCTGGCTAGGATTGGGATCACCATGAATCCGGAACTGGCATTTCCTGGACAGCGGGTGAGTCTCAACCTTCATCCTGGTGTCTATAAACTGGATATCAGTTGCCCACTGTTCCTGGCATTGTGTAACATGGTTGAGTGGTTCTTGTCGTCTTTGTCCATTTCCTGAAACTGGCTTGTCCACAAGGTACATGTTGTTTCTTTAGTATTGCATCCACTGTAGAAGATCTAGTATTTTTTAGGGGTTTCAAGTATGAGTTTGAACATTAACTTGTGTGAATTATGTAAGTGTTGTGGTGCCCCCTAGCATGGCACATGTTGATGTTTCCCTTGACTTTCCTCTTGCAGTGTGTTGTCAAACTTGTTTGTTGACAAACTTCAATTTCATTCCGTTAAATAAAGGTTCTGTTACCTTCCTAATACAACCTTTCTAAACAGTTTCAATTGTCATCAAATGTACTCCACAATTGAAAAAAGTGGTGTCTGGGAATTGGGCATGAATGAATTCAGCTGTGTGTTCCCGAACGTGGCTCACTTGAATAAATATAAGAAAATTCCGCATTAACACATGAGGATTTCGAAAAATTCTCACTTTCAAATAATTAGAACACTCCGCCCAACCTTTACTTGCATACCTACAAGTCTGTTAACAAATATTTTCATACTTCTGTGCACCTTGAAAAGAGTTTATTTTGCACTTTGAAAAAACCCTGAAAATCAGGCCAAAATAGAATTTCATTGGAACTCTGTAACAGGTGCATAAACTCAAGATTTGTGAATAGGAATGTAGAGAGCTGAATAAATTTTCAGTTATTGCAAAATATGAAGTCAAAATTTTGCTCTAGTTAGGCACTACAGAGAAAAATCAAAAGTGCACCACATAATGGGCTGCACCACATTTGGGTACATCAACAGTACAATTTTCGGGTGAGTCAAATTCCAATTAAGTGTGGTAAATGGCAAAATAAGATAGTTTAGACATTTCAATTTGTTACAGACGATCTTTTTACTGTCATGAAAGTTGAGGGCTTAGTGATTTTTAGAAAATTTTTTGTGATCACAGTGTCTCGAAATTGTCCGTCCACTGGTCAGCCTCCTCCATGTCGACAGGACAGGTTTGCAGAACTTTGAGGCATTAATGGCCTTGACGAACCTAGCTGGGATCAGCGACTCACTGCGGTAAGCCAAGCTAGGACCCAGTCTCGCTCAACCTCATTAAAGGTTAGGGGTGAAGTAAAGCAGTGTCAGGCTTTTTATTGGCAAAGGTTTCTCTAAATGAATGTTTTAGCTTAGCCAGTATTCTGCATTTTGCTGTCCTTGAAAAGTGTTGTGGATTATGAAATAGCACCAGTAATGGGTACTTTTATTTTTCCTTTTTTTTATACAGGAACCGAATTTTGAAAGAAAAGGGTTTCTCCCAGATTGAGAATTACATGTTTGAGGACCATGACATGATCAAGAGAGCTGCCACAGAGTGCATGTGCAACCTGGTTTCCAGCGAAGAGGTATAGAAACTGAAGACACTCAAAGTGTACACCTGCGACATTAATGTTGCAAACCCAGTACTCGTGCACTGTGGGACAGATTATACCAGGAGGATGAGGAAAAGAATTCAAGCAATATTCGTCACCTTAATAAGCAACCAGCACAGCTCTTCAGTTTAAGATTGTTTAGCATGTCCTGTAGAATCAATTGAATCTGGTAGAATCTTCCAACCACAGGTGGCTCAGAAGTTTCTGGGAGACAATGATCGTGTCAAGCTCCTTGTCTTGTACTGCGGCGAGGAGGATGAGGCTTTAGTCAAGGCGGCAGCAGGAGCACTGGCCAGCATAGCTCACCTCCAGGAAGTCTGTGACAAGGTTTTGAAGGTGAACATCAAGCTGGGGATAATTAGAAATTCTGTGGGGCCAGGAAAAAGGCATGATCTCACATTGATGCTGGCGTTCACAATGTCAACACAGAGATTTTCTTACACTGCCCTTGGTCCAGCAATCTGTTTGGGGCTGGGTGGCTTAAAGAAAGTAAAAGGTTGACAAATGACTGTCAAACGTTTGTCTAATCTGTCAAAAGCTTTGTGGCCATCAGACCAGCGTTTGTTTCCAATTTCTCCTGACAATTAAGAATGTTTTGCTCCGTGTTGGCTGAGATGCTAGTACCCATTCGTAATCACGAGGGTGGAGAGAGGCAGTAGGGGCAAATTGACTTGCCTAAGGCCTCAACATTTGGCCACCTGCTAGATTCAAACCCCAGAGCTTCTGATCAGGAGTCTTGAACCCTTACCCCAAAGGAACACGAAAAAGTATTGAAATTGAAAGATTGATGACTATTAGAGATATTATTAATTTGATTTAGGAATTATTATCATTGTAGACTGTGATTGCCGTTTATGTCACTTTAATGCAATTTTGTTTCGTTATTAAGTGTGATTGTAATATTGATGAATGCAATATTAACAAACTGTTTGCAACTAGCCAAGGGAAAGTAAATTTCCATGTGAATTTTCGCATGGACAGTAATAAATTTGAATCTTGAATCTTGATTTCAGGTGAAGGCGTGGCTGGAAATTATGCAGGGTCTGTGCGCCAGCGAGAACATCGACATCCGAATGCGAGGTGTGCACGTTGTCATGAGTCTGATTGAGAGCAGCAAGGAAAACGCCACCACCGTCGTCGAAACAAACCTGTTGGAAATCATGATGGCCTTTGCCAAGGACGAGACGCCCGCTATGAAAGGGGTGCGGTCCAGAGCAGAGAGTGCCCTCCAGCAGGCTACGGAATGGGGTCTGATCAAGCCTACGTAGTGATGGAAATAAGTCGTGGTTGGAATAATACGGAAAAAGAAATGCAACTCAGTTTTTTCTGGACTCGAAACCTGACAGATTTCAGGGGACTATGAGGGATGGGAAATAGTGTCATATGATGGTACAACACAACGCCGCTATAACAAACATGATAGATTTCACACTACATGTTCGGTGGAAGTTAATGTAGCGTTTCAGTCACCTGTACTCATTCCAGACTCTCACCCATTCAACTGTGAGATGGCATGCTTGACAAATGTTTCTTCATAAGGATTTTGGTTCAACACCTCAAACTTACACCCAAAGTATCAAGTTAAAAACAAACAATATTGACATTTGTGTATTTTGTTCAGTACAGTGTATAAGTTGAGTTCCTTTCATATTTTACCATTTGAATGGTTCTCACTGGAAACTAAGCCGTGAAATGAAATCAGGTTTCCCATTACAGTTTCCCTTGAGTCATCTAAAATTGCATGTGAGGTCATGTTGGCATTACTTGGCTGTGGCCAGAAATTGTGCACTAGTCTAGGGTGTAGTCGCAGCCAGTTCCCATAGAGTAGTGTGTAATGTTGAAGTCGCAGCCAAGTGATTCTGACACAGCATGACATTGCAATGTGGATACACTGATTAGTACTGTTATAGATAAAGCCGGGAACCATTCTATAGCTCTGGATCGGAATAGCCTCTTGAAATGTCAGCCAAGTTTGGTAAAACAATTGAAACTTTCTGCAAATTAAAGCACGAAAGGTAATCTGTCTCACTGCTGTTCTCATTAATGTTTCAGATGTGAACATTTCTGCTTTTATACTGAGTGCAAGGAGCAAGATTTGGGCATCAAAGATGCCCACATTGCATGTATGATGTGTACTTGATGTACACGTTACACTTCATGGCTGCATGACAGGCACACACATGTACACCCACCCTTACAGACATATGTATACTTGTGGGGTATTTGCCTTGTTCTCGTGTACAAAACCCCCACATAACACAGAAAAAATTTCAAATCACTGCCATTTCAACCAAATTCAGTTTCCTGGGTTGAAATTTCGACCGCATGTTTCTTATTTAAAACACTTCAATTTGCGACGGATGAATGGCACTTGAAAATTCCTCCTTTTTGAGTAAATTTGAAATGTCTATTTTGTGAAATTCTTGTGGGGTACCACTTTTGTACCCCACAAGGATCAAAACTGGCCTTGTGGGTACCTTTCATTGTTCCGGCACCCCACAAGGCACCATGTACAAGCGCACGTTAAAGTCACGCTAGCTGCACGTTGGCTGTTCCTTCTTGACTAAGTTTTCTTTATTTTCTGTGGTCAGTCTTGTGTTTCTTTCGTGTGTGATCTTTTAATGTGAGGTACGCGTAACTTGCAAGGAGAATGCAGGAGTCAATGGGGGATATTCGGAGTACCAAGTTCGGAATAGCGGTGTTATGCTGTCAACTAGTGTGTGAATACAAACTTTGAATGAGATGATAATTCAACTAATAAACCCACATCATTTTGGTCGACTGTCCCATTTATTTCCATGTCATACATGTAGTGTTCCATATATAGTCGCCATAGTTTGAGCTTAAACTGGGATATTGGGAATATTTTGCTATCATGTTTGGTTGCACGCATTTGGTTACGTACATGTAGGCATGTACTTCATCGTTATGCTTCAAATTTGTAATCCCAACGCGCAGATGTGAAATAGCTGCATTTCTCAGAATATTTCAACTTGGTTTAATTCAGTGAAATTCTTTCTGTGTTGAAGATTGCAAAGGTGTTGGGTACACTTTCCGGGGGTTGGCATTTGTTTGTTAATCTGAAGTGACTTCTCTTTTGGTCACTCTCACAAAGTGCAGTGCACATGAAGCTCTCAAATATGTCCACCAAACATAGAGCCAAGTCACTAATTACCTGTTTCCTGGATTTTTTGGTATTGTTTTGGTAGAGTTATTGTGTAGGACACTTTCTGTTTTTTTGTGTTAATCCCTTAGCTTATTTATTTTCATTTATTAAAATAAATGGAGTTTTATTGATGTTTGTACAAGGCACATATTTTACATTATGGCCTGACAAAATTGTGTAAAACATTTTAGTATATTCGCCGTGATTGCAAAGCTATGCAAGTGAAATGTTTTCATTGAAAGCAATTAAAATATGAATTTTGGGGAGTCTTTGAATTTGATTGTGAGGTTGTGTATTTGCGCCTTCCATTGAGCTCGAGAATTCCGAGCGAAACAGTGTGGGTGTTTCAACGCTTCACCGAATGAGTTTCCGTCAGGGATGCGGGGATTATTTTGTGTCAACCAAGAATGACGCTCCATAAACAATTGTGGGGAAATCATCTCCCGTAAATGGATAGGTGTCTCGCCTGAGAATTCTAGGAGCTCGGTATTACAGAGCTTGTTTATCGACACCACTACAACCTGGAGATTCAACTGCCCAGGGCAAACGGACACGTTAAAGGCAGTAATCGCGTCATTTCCACGGACAGCCAATCCTATAGCAAACAGTTTGATGGAAAATGTGGGGAACTGCTCATCTCATTCTCTGAGAAGGTAAATAGAAGCCGTACGTGTAAAAGTGAAAGATAATTTGGGAAGTGTTGAAATTCACTCTGCAGAAACGAAAATACCAAACGGCCAAAGCTGTCAACTAATTCAAAGGTAGTTACATTTATAGTCCAAGCGAAGATGTGAAGTAAACGAAAGTTTCAAGTGAACTACTTAAAAGGATAGAGTTGCAGGAAAAGGAGTTGCATTTTGTCTTTTAATTTCTTGACGAATGTTTTTTGTGGGGAGGGGGGTGACTTTGGAAGTCGATGTATGGGGATTTAAGTGAATTTATTCCTCTGCTCGAAAGTTCGAACGTATCGTGGATGTTTATGTTACCAAAAAAAATGGTGGATGACAAACTCAGCTTTAGCAAAGAATGTTGAACCAACTTACATACAATTATTTCTATACTTTAATTAAGAACAAGACGGACGCGCTGGGAGGTCTCCAACATCAGCGTCCAAGCATATCATGCTTGAAACAACCACGGCAGTGCTGTATGTGCGTTTGCAGGCGGGCATATGATGCACATGACCGCCAACACTCTGGTCAATGCACTTCCGCATGTCTTACTAATTACCCCACCCGTCCATTTCTCCCAACAGTTCGTATTTCCAATCGTCCATCTTCTTTTTGTACAGCTGGTTTTTTCCAAAGGGCGACCTTGGGCAGAGTCCAACGCCTACCCCAGGGAGAACATACACTCTAACCTGTAGGCTCAGGAAACAACATGTTCTCGTCGCCATAAATTTTTGCTGTCAGCACTGCTGCCACTCCAATTACTCTTCCAATTTTTGGCAGTGGCGAGAATTTACGAGATAATCCCGCACACCACGGGGAACACAGAATGAAATGAGAAAATCATGACGCTCTGCGAAAAAACACCCCCCCCCGTCCATCGTCAGATTTGCTCCATCATCCCGTTGCCATGGTTACCCCCATCCGGAAGAGAGAAAAACAAAGATGTTGACCCGACCAACTAACGGAGACAGAGAAGAAATGCTCTGAGTGGTGAATAGGTCCATCTTCCGATGTTGATCTAATTACTTCCCGCATACAGTGTGATCGATTGGGGAAACCTATGATGTTTGCGATGGGGTAAATGGGCATGAGACTCGAGATCAAAAGAAAACGGAGCGATAGCTCAAAGCCGCTGCCTTTGCAGACTGTGCAGGCCCAGTCTATATAATCAGGCCTTCCATACACCAGAGGAATTCAACTCACAGAGGTTTGAAATTTTGTGAACTGCTTACATCTCTTCAGCAAAAGTCATCGACCCCAAGGTGTTACAAATTCCCTTGATCAACATTGTCTGCCCTTAATACTGGGAGTTTTTCAGTGTGTCACATTGTCACTTTTGGGACTTCGCTGGACAAATTGAAGTGGCGGAAATTGGCATATGCCACACACTCAAATACGGGCGATTCACAATAGTGCGCCTCCAAGAGTTTGCCCAATCACGAAATTTGTCGACCCTTTCCATCGATAAATTTTGGGCATTGTGATTGGCCAACGCATGCAAACTCTTGGAGGCGTTCTATTGTGAAACGCCCGTATTCGATAAAGAAAAAAAACTTGACAATTTTCTATTATCTGCATACATTTCGGCATCCGAGGAAACACTCTCACCATGCCACTGAACAAAAGATATATTCCACGTTTGCACATACACGCTCAACCCTTATGCACAGCCATCCTGCGGTGGATACCAGGTGTTCATAGATATGAATATAAATGAATATATTATATCTACTCATTAGGCCTAATTAAACTATTAGACAAAGAAAAAAAAAGACAATTCAAAAGCACTGGTTGTTACAAAATACTTGTGAGCTAGAAAATGTGATCATTGACAAGTGTCCTGGATACTCCACCACGGAGGGTGAGGACAACTTAAACCCCCATCACATTCAAACACGATCTTACTACGTCCTCAAAAAGAAATAGGGAGAGCATGACAAATCATGGTGAGATCTTGTACATCGTAAGAACTCAGTGGGAACTGATAAGAACGTGGTAGGGTCTTCATGGACGGGAGGTCGTGCCTACGTTTTGAGCATGTTCAAATTTTACGTAGCGGGGTCGTAAGTGGCTTAAATTTGCAATGACAGCAACCTAGCACAGACGTCATACGCGTCAACAATGGCTGGGGATTACTTAGGCCAATATAGGGCGTATGTCACAAGTCCTGGAAAAAATAATGTGCGTACGTGCACAGGGTTACACTCATTGATCTCCATTAGAAAGACTGGATAGGATATCGCGTCCAAAACGTGTCCCGCGTGTGCATATTTTCAGGAGGGTAAATAACAAGCGTAGCGGATTTTGCGTGCACTTTCAAACGGAGATTTCAAAACTGCTGGGAAGTTGAGGTTATTGTACTTCAGTCGTCAGATTACGAAGAAAAAAAAACCGGAATTCTGCCCTTGGAATGGATGGATTTGGAAAGAATAACGGTTGAGGTGTGTGCAGCAGAGAATTGCCAGAGATCGAAGGTAAAATAAAGTTTGGAAGAAGGGGCAGCTTTTGACATGTGAGTCGCACATTCAGAAGGTTTCTGCACGCCTTGTGCTATAATGCTTGGGACCGTCTGAAATATCATTTATCGGCAAAAGTGTTTTTAAAAACTGAATGATTAATTTGTCGTTTATTTTCCCCAGATTTCACTGGAAAAATCTCGAAGAAAGCCATGATTTGTGTATGTGAGATCTGCAGACGCATTGAACCCAAATCGTCTGACAGACGATGTGATATGAGTGACGGAATATCCATCTTTAGGGCAGAGATGAAACTAGAGCGAGAGACAGAGAGCTGACGTTTTTCGTCGAGTGAAGCAACAAACAAGGAAATTTTATCAACGCAAGGAAAGAAACTTTGTCTAAATTACAAAAAAGATTCGTTTTCAGTTTACACTGACCTTTTTCCTTTCAGAAAGTCGTTAAATGTAAATCTTTAGTCAAGCTTGTAACTCAATTTTTTTACTTGATTTATAAGTGTCTGTGGTGAAAGTGGCACGAACTTAATTAGTTTGGCTCGCCGTCAAAGTTCTGCTCATTTGGGCTCACAGGAAAGATCCTCACACTTATCAGTTTTCAATAAATTTACTCAGTATATGAATGAATTTCAGTACAGTGTTTCCCTTGAGTTTTTAATAAAATTAAGGCTTTTTTCATATACTTGATGAAGTTTTTCAGTGTTGACTC